GCATGAGTGCTATTGCATGGCATCCCGACAATGTAGGTACTTTCCTGATTCGATGAGTTTTGTTCACTCAAGATCGCTTTACTTCAGGCAACTCGGTTGGTCACTGCCTCCGAGGATGACTCTTCCCCGATCATCATGGCTTGGGATCTTCGAAACGCGCGCGCGCCAGAAAAGGTAACAAATATCATTCTTTGCGTCAATCCATGGTTTGACGATGGATTAGATCCTCACCGGCCACGAAAAAGGCGTTTTGTCCCTCTCCTGGTGCAAACAAGACGCCGATCTGCTGTTGTCTTGTGGTAAAGACAACCGAGTATTGTGCTGGAACCCGCAATCCTCGGAAATCATCGGCGAAGTAAGTTATGCCTTTGTTTCATTGCTGTTCTACGTTTTGTTGATATAAATCCATCTCTCCTCACCAAAGCTTCCCTCCGCTGACAACTGGGCTTTCCAAGTCGAATGGTGTCCCCGCAACCCCGACCTCCTCGCCAGTGCATTTTTCGACGGTACAGTTGGAATACACTCTATCCAATCTACCAACGAATCCTCCACCACCGCCACTAGCACTGCTACCCCATCTGCTGCAGCTTCCACAGACGGTTCTGACATATTCGACGTCCCTGGCTTTGCGCGCTCTTCCCAAGGGGGCACGCTCTCCCTAAAGCAGCCCCCCAAGTGGCTTCGTCGGCCTGTATCTTCTTCGTTTGGCTTTGGTGGAAAACTGGTTAGCATAAGCAATCTTGCGGGTGCGCGGGGGGAGAACCAGAGCAGGAGTGTACATTTGAGAGGGGTGGTTACCGAGGAGGATGTTGTAGGGAGAGCGAGGGCGTTGCAGACGGCGGTTGAGGGCGGTGAGGGTGAATCGATCAGGGTGTTCGCAGAGGGAAAGGTAAAGGCGAACGCAGAAGAGAAGGTGGGGGAGAGCGAAGAGGAAGAGATATGGAATGCGCTGTTGACGATGTATCATATGGATTCGGATTCGGACTCGGGATCGCGTGAGGAGCTAGTTACGTTGCTGGGATATAAGAAATCGGACGTGGCTGCGAAGATCGGAGAGGCAGTGGAGAAGCTCAAGGCAGGTGTTGAGGGGCGTAAGCAGCAATATCTGGAAGAGGAAGATAACGTGGAAGGGGCGCGGGATTTAGCGGATATGAAGCCTCCTGTTGTCTCATTCGCTGAACCCGAACGCGAGCCTACGCCTCTGGGAGGAGCTGAACCCGCTGAAACTCCCGATGCCCGTGACGAAGTAGACGAAATTGACGAAAGTCCCTTTGACAACGAAAAAACACCCTCGGAAATTAGCGCTAGCGTTACGTCTGATACTACGCGTCAGGTTGATACGGAGTCTACTACGACTGCGCCTTCCTTATTCGGGACGATAACCTTGCCCCCGGAGCCGGTGGAGGCGACTTTTTCAGCAATATCGGGGTTGATACTGGGGATGGGCATACTCAGCAGGTTCTCGTTCCTCATACGAATTACGCGGTGGATTCTTCCGTTGCAGCAACGATTGGCTCACGCCCCTCTTCCGCTGCCTCTGCCTCTGAAGTAGGGAGTTCGAAGAACAACAATACGTTTAGGATTATTTACTCTCCTTCTGACGACGAATCCGAAAACGAAGCCGGAACAGGATCAGAAACAGAGGCGTTGATTACCAAAGCTCTGATCCTAGGAGACTTTTCCTCTGCTGTCTCTCTATGCCTATCCACTAACCGCTTCGCCGACGCGCTTCTGCTCGCTGTTCGTGGAGGTCCCGCGCTCCTCGCGGAGACGCAAAAAGCGTATTTTGATTACGAACGACAACGCACCTTGGCTTCCGCTTCCAGGTTTAGGAACAAGGCCAAACCGAAGCCGTATCTACGGTTATACGAAAGCATCGTCGCCGGTGACCTGGAGGATGTGGTGCAGAATGCGGAACTGGCGGAGTGGAGAGAGGTTTTCGTTGTGTTGTGTACGTTTGCAGGGAGGGAGGAGTTTGGGGGCCTCGTGGAGATGCTGGGGAGGAGATTGGAGTTTGAGTATAGGGTTAGGAGGGGTGATGTGAATATGGATAGGGATACGGAGGATCTCAGGAATGGATTAGGAGGGAAGGAGGCGGTGGAGTACAGGAGGTACGCGACGTTAACGTATCTTGCTGCTGCGAGGCTGGAGCGGTTAGTGAGTATTTGGATGGAGGAGATGGGTGAGGAGGAAGAGGCGCTTGTGCGAGGTGAGAAGTTTGGGAGTGGATCGCGGTATACGGCGCATGCGCATGCCCTACAGAGCTTTGTGGAGAAGGTGACCGTGTTTAGGTCTGCAACGAAGTATGAAGATGTCGATCTTGGGGCTGCCTCCAACTCTAACGTTGCGGCTGAGGTCAAGACGTACAAGTTGGCTGGGTTGTATGATCAGTATTTCGAGTATGCTGAGCTTTTGGCGTCGCAGGGTCTTCTGAAGGAGGCTGCGGCGGTTTTGAAGCTTACGCCGCCGGGGTATCTGGGCTCGTCTGGGGGTAAGGATTTGGTGGCGGAGAGGAAGAGGCTTTCGGGTGCTACGGATGCTGCCCGTGCGACAGCGGTTCCTGTTGTCCATCAGACCGCTGCTGCGTCGACATCTCGTGTGCCCTATGGGGGCGGATATGGTCAGCCTGCTACTGTAGGTCGTGCTGCTGTGCCTCCTGCGCCTGTTCCTGCTGCTTCAGGTCCATATGGTGGGGGGTATCAGCCCTCGGCAAATTATCATGTGCAGCCACAGAGTCAGTATTCGCAGAACGGAGCTGTGGGTGCTCAGTCTTACGGTGCTCCTTCATCCGTGAGTACGTTCACTCCGGCTGGAAACGGTTTCACTCCTGCGGCCAATACGTTTACACCCGCCGCACCTTCCTATAATCCTTATGGAGGCAATATGAACACAGGGTCTCAAGTCCAGCCGGCTCAAGTGGCTCCGCCTCGCGTTCCTGCCACACTTCCTCCGCCTCCGAAAAAGAGACAATGGTGGATGGAATGATGCGCCGGTTCTAAACCCTGGTCGCACTTCCAGTGCTATGGGGAACAAAGCCGTACCTGCAGCAATTGTCTCGCCTTTCCCCAACTCTACAGCATCGCCTCTGTCACCTCCGACGAGTGGTTCGTACATGCAGTCGGGTCAGCCCCCGATGAACTTGCAGCATGCCCCTCCTCGTCCAGGAAGTGTTCCCGGTCGCGCGCCTCCTCCTGCAGGCCCTCCAGGACGTGTTGGGCCTCCCGGGCCAGGGATGTATCCTCCCCCACCTGGAGCTGGCGCGAGGCCACCGTCGGTCGCAGGTGGCGGACCGGGTAACATGGGAATGGCTCCTCCTCCAACGCGTATGATGTCTCCTCCCCAAGGACACCCTCCTCCGCCTTCACAATATGGCCTCCCTCCAACTCGTGGTGGGCCAGGGCCCGGCCAAGCTCCTGGCCCGGGTCCCGGTCAATTTGGTCGTCCGCCCCAAGCTGGTCAGGCTCCTCATATGCCTCCGCCACCTAGCGGCCCGTACGCTCGTGCCACTCCGCCGCCCATGCAGCAGCCACCGTCTGGGCCGTATGCGCCGCCCCCAGGACAGGCCCAGGCTCCAGCCCAGGGACCCGGTGCTTATGGACCGCCTCCCGGTCAAGCTAGCGGTGGAGGGATGCACGCTCCTCCGCCTGGCGCTCGTGGTGGGCCCCCACCACAACAGCATGCGCCGCCTCCTGGGGCTGGGCCAGGCGGTCCTCCTGGTCGGGCGTCACCGGCTGCTCCACCACCTCGTGCGCAAAAAGCGGGACCCCCGCCTCCAAAATATCGTGAGTAAACGAGTATTCTTATATCTCTGTTAAGAGGTTTCTTACGATTGCGATTTTGCTTTTTCTTTCTTTGTAGCACCTGGAGATCGTAGCCATATACCTGAACATGCAAGACCCGCGTATGAGGTTATCCTGAGAGAGCTGGAGAGGATGAAGGGTAGTGTTCCTGTAAGCGAAAAAAGAGCGTTTGTTTCCCCTATGTTCGTTGAACTGACTGTGTGCCTTTTTTGTTTTGTGTTTTCTAGCCCGCGCAGAAGCGCCAAGTAGATGACTTGGAGCGTAGGATCAACCCGCTGTTCGATGCACTGAATTGCGAGACGCTGTCGACGCCGGTTGTGGACCAGTTGCTTGTTCTTACGAGAGGTTCGTGATTACATTGATGTTCTGTTGAATTCTCTTTAACGTTTTACTTTCGCAACTTTCTGCAGCCATGGACGCGCACGACCGTCCCGCCGCGCTTGCGATCCATGTCGACTTGCTCACCCGCGGGTCGCAGAAGGACGACATTGGGCTGTGGATGTCGGGCGTGAAGCAGCTGATTATGCGACTATAGAAGACACGGGAGACGCAGGAGACACGGGGGGAAATACGAAAGTTAGTTAGAAAGTATGAAAGTATGATACACAACTATTTTTGCCCGTTTCTTTTTTTTTTCGTATTATGAACCGATGTTTGGCTTAATGGCTTTTTTTTTTTTGAGATTTAAAGAAGCTGAAAATGAATCGTTTTATTCTATTTTATTATGTTCTTTGGATGTGGATGGTGGTGTGTGAAGTGTGATTTGGTTTTGAGGTCGTGGACTCGAGCTGTTGGACGGTTGGAACTTGGTACGGCGGGGAAATGGATCCTTGAGCTGTAGGTGGGACTCTCGTTTGGAAGGGTCACTTGAATCCCATGTAGTGTATGTCGAAGGTTTTGTTCGATTGTGCTCAAGCTCGTTGCTATCGATATCCCCAAGCTTAAGGGTGGGTTGTATCCAGAGTACTTGGTGGATGCTTTTCTCCCGTGTTTTTTTATGGGAGCTGCATAGAAGTTCCGAGTTCTGGTAGCAGGAGAACATTTCGGGAAGGATGTGCTCTGGCGGTTCAGCAGACATCTAGTAGCTACATATATGAGTTGAAGATAAGTGTGGCTTCTTCAAGGGATGTCGATGGACTCTCGCAAGTGGAAGCAGTGTTTTTCTTTGTCGTGAACTGGCTTGAACACGAACTAAAACATGTCCGCGTAGCTCAGTGGCTAGAGCGCGAGATTGCAATAGAGAAGTAACACGTTCTTGGTTCATTCTAAACAATCTTGAAGTCGCGTGTTCAATCCACGCCGCGGACTTCTACTAAGAAGTTTATCAAATTCTTTTTGTGTTTCTTACAAGGCTTTTCACAAAAGTATAAACAACAACGAAAGTATCATGGAGGTCATAATTTGTTACCCCTCGGCCTCAGTACTTTTTTTTGCGTTTTTGATCTGGAGCCTTCGCCCAACACTCACGTCATTCAGTATAGCGTGAACTCAATGTACACTCAGCTGTATCTTGTGTTGCACTGGACAGAAGAATCGTCTGACTCTCAAAGAAAGCTTTTCCTCCTTCCTACCACTTGGATATCACCGGTCACCGGCAATGTCTAAAATTCACTGTGATGTTTTCTCAGTTGCCTGTATCGGATAAGGAAGATGCTTGTCGGACAGATTGAGACGTGCGTCTTTCGCTGAACGGCCGTACCGCCAAGGATATCGATCGCGAAGGATTACTACGGAACAAACGTTGGATGAAAGGCGTTGAAATGTTGAAAGCCAATGACCGTCGAACCAAGTGCGTAATTAATCCCAGTCAAAAGTCCGGATGGCGAAAAACGGACCGTAACGGATCAAACCCACTTTTTCATCCGTTCCATCTGACGAGAGCTGCTTGTTGCTCGACTTTTCCTTGGCCCTCGACCATGCCCGACTACCAACGTCGTTTGAATCAACGAAACTGCCCACAATTCCAACAATCCAATGGAATTTGTCATCAAGGTTGGCCAAAAGCCACGCGCCCGATGTGTCGTATTATGGACTTAGCTTATTCGCTTCATCTGTACCTCTATCGTCGCTTCTCTCTTGTACCACTACCATCTACTACCATTGCCAAATTCAATCTTTTCTCATGAAATACTTTTGTGACTGCCCGAGATACTGTAAAAGCAGGAAAGAAGTATCAAGAGGAACTTATAATAACCATAAAAAGTATCGCACTCCACTGCCAGGTACAAATCAAGATGTACATAGGCCAAAACGACAGCGAGTCCATGTCAGCGAAATGCAGGTATGTCTTTTGTACTTCGTTGTAATGTTATAAGCTAAGCTGAAGGGAAATAGGCTCATAACGAAGCAGGTCCTTCTGGTACTTCCCGCAATAATCTATCTCCAAGTCCTCCAGCTCACGAAAACTCGCCGCATCCGTTATTGACAATGAAATTACATACTCTACTCTAGCTATTAGGCTCATCCGCGTTGGAAAGCAGCTCTATTTCCGCTACAGGACTCCTACCTCTTCCTCGGATTTCCTTTGCCCATCATCTTTGCCTGCTTCTCGCGCAGAGAATCGTCTTCGCCCAGAAGGCGCCATCGCATCCAGGGTGGGGGGAGGGCTGGCAAGGGTGTGGCAAGGGTCGCCCACATACTCCAATAGACTGCGCAGATGCTTGCTGGATTCAAAATCGCCTTCACTTGGCCAGCCTGTTTTGTTCCTTTCATGTGTCTTATTAGCATGCGGGAAACCTCAACGACATCGATAACTTGCTCTTGTCGCGTGATATGGTTGAAACTGGTTGAAACTTGAAACTCCCCGCTAGTACTACTACTTACAGCTACTTACCCGAGTGCACGCCGATTTCTCCAAATTTCAAATGATATTCCGACTTATAAGAATAGTCTGTCACAATTCTTTAGCGCATCATTCTTTGCTCCTTCCACCATCTGCTGGTCAGATAAAGTGAGCGACCCAAATATCGATTTCCGTTTCGTGCCCTCGTACACATCGTGATCTACTAGTTATTCTTGACGCCATGCTTTTCAGAAAACTCATCCTGGCGACGTTGCTTCCGCTGTTATCCAACCTTCTGGTTGTCAATGCGTCTCCTCTGCTTGAAAACGACATAGAACCTCGGGGCCTTCGGAAAACATTCAAGAAAATAGTATCTCCTGGTGAATTTTGTTCAAAACATCCCATCTTGGTTTCATTGAGAGAAAAGGAACATCACGTAGAGAAAAAATTCGCATATTCTCTTTCTGTTTGGAAAAACAAGAAAGGTTCCAACGATGAAGCATGGTCCCTAATCTTCACGCCGCCCCATCCACAAGCCGACCTTTTTCGCTTCTTCACAAAACCCGTTGCCAACAAATTGAAAGGGCCTTTGACCTTGAAATCCACTTTCGAGCTCATCAAACACAACGCGGTGCCACCAGACGTTGAAATCATCGATCTGAAAGCTACCGCGCGGTTCGCATCCGAAGAGCAGGTCGGTCCAGGCCTAATCTTGCCCATAAAGGGACCAGCATCGAAGGAGGAGGGGACCTCGTTGTACATGGTCGAAGCGATGCTCAAGAAGCTGATACAAGGGAAAAACCTGTACCATCCGTCAAACCCGCCTGCGCCACCGGTTGAGTTGACTTCATTCCCCTCGATTTGGGCTACCAGGTCCTGGCCTTACAGCCGAGAGGGTGAAAGAGTCGCTGCGTCGCGACCCAGCATTGAGAGCGCTAAGAGCTTCGGGTCGGAGATTTGATTTATACGGAGAAGTTTTTGGATGTACATTGTATGTGCTTATCGCTGGGGTTACAGGTCTACATGTCATAAGTAGAACGCTTGGATTCTAGGTGGCAATGCAATTGAATGTGAATGGGAGCCAAATGCTGTATGCGCGGCCTTACGCGTAACGTTGACCTTGTTCTCATCGTTTCAATAATTGTAAGTTTCGACTGACGAGTCGCGGCAGCATGAAACTCTCGGTACTACTGCAGACTGGATGACGGTGGGCCGCCTGCTGCAGATGACGAAGCTCTTGATATCACCTGCGCAAGAAGGCACCCTCACAACCCTTTCTCGCCACCCCATTTACATCTTCTCTTATCCTCAGTGAAGTTTAAAATTTGACCATCAGACTTAGGTGTGTATAACTTCTTACCACCTTCACTATTGAAAGGAGCTCACGAATCACGAGTCACATACTCCGGCTATGCTCGCAGCTCGTCCGCATGCAAGTTGCGAATGGCGCCTCAGTGGAAAGCACCTCCGTTCCGCTACAGGCCCAACAGGCCAAGTCCTCCTCCCTCTTCCTCTGATTTTCCTCTAATTTCCTCTGCCTGTATCTTCTCGGCTGTTCTTCAGGTCCATGATCGTCACCCCCCTTCAACCGAACTAAGAGTCAAGGTTTGTCTCTATCGAATGAATGTCCTTGGTCGTTATTTGTTGCGCGTTGAATCTTGATCAGCAAGCCTTTTTTGCAGCCTTCTGCGTTGAAACGTTGACCAGACCAGTTACAGATACATCTATAACAAAAAAAAACACTATTGACGCATGGAAAAACCACGAGGTGAACAAAACCCCCTCGGAAGACCTCCCAAGCCGTTCCGCCAAAAAACATCCGCCAAAATTAATACTTATCGCCAGCGTTGAGGTTAACTTATCGCCCACCTCAACTATTCCTATCAATATACCAATATGGCAAACCCAGCCATCCTCGCATCCAGCTACTACTCCCTATAAGTACAAGATCCTACAAGCCAGGTCGCGTTTCTTCAAGGTCATAGGCCATCAAATCACTTGTTACGGTTACCTCTTCCTCTCTTCCCCTCTTCCCCTCTTCCCTTCTTCCCCACGCGTGCATCCGCTGATATCTGGATACCTGGATATTGACGACGAGCGGGTTGTTGAATGACTCGGGGGCATCGAAGCTGCGGTATTCGCGCTCGGGGATGTTTTCTTCTTCTTCCTTCTTTTGTGAAGCCCGGACGCGTGCACGCGATGCCGGCCGTGGAGATGTTGGGATACTGAGTGAAGAAAATAATAATATCCGTTCCTTATAGGATACAACTCACCGTCGTTTTCTAGAACTCGAATTCGAATTATACCGTTAATTATACCGTTCTCAATACCAAACTATTCGCACCATCCTTCCAGTCTCTAAATAGTAAACAAAAGCAGAGCAAAACAGTCCGCCGATGGTACGTTACTATGAATGTTCATCGACTCGGACATCATTCATAAATCATCTACTAACAAGAGCCGCTTTACCAGCTCGCCAGAGCGAAACAGTCCGCAGATGGTACGTCGTCAATTATCTAGCTCTGTCAAATTGAAAATGTAAAAGAACAACACTGCAACGTGAGAGTTTGTGCCACCACAAATTAAGTGTCCTCTGTTGGAACGAAAGAGCATCTTGGCCACTGTTGTCTAGCAATCCTGGATCTGTGTCAGACTCCTTGCCAAGTCCAATACTCCCCTCGTTTTCGCTTATTGATCGGATACCAATGATAACCTCCCTTTCGGTAGATTTCAGGTGGACCTAGTGACAGACCACTGATCTCACTCTTGAACGTTCGTAGCCACATCAATAGGGGTGCAAAACGTTATGGCCATAAATCGCTTTAACATAACCTCAATATCATGTGTGCTTGAAATTGCAGTTACTTCGGCTCGGTCTTCGCTCTTTCTCGCATGCAATGTTTAATGTTTTCAATCAGAAAAAGTCAACATATGAAATCTATGGGGACTTGGGAACTTGATGAGGCCTCGAGGGAACGTAACTCCAGCTTGATCATTGAGCTCCGACTCGTGCTTCACTCTGGACTTGTGGGGCCGCTTGGAGATTCAAATGAACTGAACAGCTGTACTACGGTATGTCTACCGGCATTGCGTCAACCCCTGACAGATGAGGTTTCTCCAAAGTTTTTTCTAATCCCACTGAGATGAGGTTTTATAACATGACTTATACCTACTACATGCATAGAGCCTAAGCTAGGCCTACAACGACCACATGCGTAGCTAGATGCCTAGGTAGCATACTTGATACCATTTCTCTCATGAGATTATTTACGAGAATATCAAGTCACCAATATATATGCCATACCCTCTGTAAACTAAGAACTTCGATTTATTCCAAATCAGAGACTGGTACTTACATGTACATACTCCTTGTATGCTTCGCTCAAGCCTCGCTTCAGCTGATTGAATGACGCTGAAATGACACCAAGTTAAGTAAGTAAGTGGACTTGCGACGTACGAATGTTTGCCACTGCCGGAGTCCTGTAAAAACTTTTGAAAAAACTTACGAATATCTGCGCCACAATGT